CGGGGAGGGGTTTACCCCTCCCCCTCCCCCCTCCCCACTGACCTGGACAGGGGGTTCCGCGGCGCGTTGGAGCGCCCAAGATCGACCCCTGGGAGGGCTAAAATTCGACACCCCTCACGAGGATCGTGGCTCCTGAGGGGGGGGCTGAAATTTAGGAACCCCTCTCCTTTGATCGATTTCCTCCACGATGGCCGCAAGAGGCCCCCAGGATGCCCCAAGAGGCCGCAGGATGGCCCCCAGATGGCCCCAAGAGGCCCCCCAAGAGGTCCCAGGAGGCCCCCAAGAGACCCCCAAGAGGCCCCAAGAGACCCCCCAGAGGCACCCAAGGTGCTCCCAGAGGCCCCAAGATGGCCAGAAGAGGCCCCAAGAGGCCCAGGAGGCCCCAAAGAGGATTCCGAACGGCCCACAGAGGCCCCCCCGAGGCACCCGAGACGCCGAAAAGCCCCTCAGGACGACCCTCTACGACCCTCTACTCGCCTGGACGGGCTGGTGGGGATACGCGAAGCGTCTAGAATTTCCCAGACATGCGCCCCGAGATCCAACGTAAAACACAACTACATATATATATATATATATATATATATGTGTGTATGTCTCTATCTATACATATATATATATGTATATATATATGTATATATATATATATAAAATAATACAACGGCCTCCAGGGGCCCTCGCCAGGCAACGGGACCGTCAAAAACCGACTCAAGATGAAAAACCGGTCCGGGGGAATGGGTCGACGCTTTCGGGGAGCCCGCATGGAAGACAGCACGGCCTCGGACCTCCGGGCCCGCGTCGTGGCAGCAGCAGGCCGGGAGAGGTCGGCCGTGGTCGGCCTCGCGGAGGGGGGCCTTGCCGGGCCTCGGGGCCGTCCACAAAAAAACGGCTCGGGAGGAAGAGCGGGGCCTAGGGGAGGGGTCGACGTCACGAACAGAGGGCACAACATCCACCCCCATCCTCACCGACCCGACACGCGAAGCCGTTGAATTACTGAACGCCCCCGCTGAAGGAATCGAACGGGGCAGGGCGGTCAAGCAAACGCCCAGGGCCGTGTAGTAGACGCCGATCGTCCGGCCCAGGTGTCTTTCCCTCCCTTGCGTGAGCACCACGAGGCGGGCCCAGATCTCCGAGACTGCTTCCATTCTCGGCGCCTGCGCGTACCGTCTGGACCACCGGGGGCCGCTCTCGAGCCCCGGGGCCACAAGCGTGACGAGGAGCTGCCCCCTGGAAACGGCCGGCCGCGGGTCCTGCCAGCGCTCGGACGTCCCTTCCCCGTGCACCTTTTCCGACCTCGTGCGCGCATTGCTGCGCAGGATGGCCCAAGACGCTCCTCGATGGCCCTCGCCGAGAACAAAGGCACGCGTCCGAGCGATGCCAAGCCCCTCCCAGACCCCCGACGCCATGAATTGCTCATGACGTCGACCCCCAGAGGTCTGGACCCATGCCCAGGGACCGGTCTTTCATCCTGCATAGTCTTTGACGGTGCCGAGGGCCCCCAGAGGCCGAGAATGGCAACAAACAAGAACCTCCCGTCGTGATTTTTTCGCAGCGCGAGGGGGCTCGGGACCTCTGGGGTCGCGGGTGGAGCAGGTCGTGCCGGAGGATGTCTGGGCAAAATGGCCGAGGCTCGAGGCGAGCGAGGGTCACACAGCGGCCGAGCCTCTCTGAGCCCCCTAGATGGGGCCCCTCGCGGCCACGGCTGGACGCGCCTCGAAGTTCTGGCGAGCTCCTGGATGGGTTGACGAATAGTGGGATCGAGAAAAAGATCGAGAAGGAGATCGACCGGGAACCCGGGGACCCCGAACCCACCGACATCGGCCCGGAAGCAACATAACCAGGAACCCGGGACCCCGGAACCGGGAGCCCGGGAAGCCAGCCGGCCGCCAGCATCGGCGGGGAAAGTTCGCCAAGTCTTTCAACATCCGCTATAGGACGCCCTCCGCGCAAGCACTGCCTAGAGCATCGGGGCGGAGCGTGTGGTGCTGCTTCCGGCCTCGAGGGGGCCCTCGCGGGACCCCGCGAAGCGTCACCAAAGCCGGCCCAGGAGGACAAAGGCGTGTGCAAAGGGCGCGCAGACTCGTGGGCGTGGCCAAGCTGGCACCAAGGTTCTCCGGCCACAGCGTGCCACTCGGCAGGGGCTCAACCACTTAAGAAACCTTCCACGAGAAAGCCAACCCTGAGACCCCGGGACGTCCCTTGATTCTTGGTGTGGGAACGGCACTCCTTCCATCGCAAAACCATCGAAAAACCCAGGAAACCCAGGGCACCCTGGAGGCAAGCCGGGTGCTTCTTGGCATGGGCCTCTCCACTCTAGCGTGCCGCTCCGCTCCGCTGGGCGCGAGGCTGGGAAAAGCTCAGAACGCTGACGCCCGGAAACTGTGGGAAAATGGCCAGCGTGTCACGCCGACGCTCGGCGGGCCCGAGCCGGCGGCGCGACACGCTGAGACACAGCTCTCGACCGCGGGTGCATTCTGAAGAGTCTGCGCGCGACGTGGTGGTCGCCATGCCACTCTCAACCCCGACGCATCAGGCGGTGTGGTCGCACTCGCGCTCGCGGCGAGCCGGACGTGCCTGGGGCCAGGCAGACCACAGCCGGCCGTGGTGTCAGACCGAGCCGATCTCTCGATCGGGCCGGGCCGACACAATCAGCGACCGCACAGGAGTCGCGGCCTCCCACGGAAACAGGGTGAGGGGGGAGAGTGTTTCGTGGATCCCAGAGGCCACCTGTCGGGTGCAAAGCCTCGCGAGGCCCGCAGCCGCACTGGCTTGAACCAAATGGCTATCGCACTTGGCCCTGGCCACACATGCGCTCGGTGGAGGAGGAGGAGGAGGAGGACGAGGAGGAGGAGGAGGAGGAGGAGGGTGAGGAGGAGGAGGAGGAGGAGGAGGAGGAGGAGGAGAAAGAGGAGGAGTACCACGTCCCCGCGTCGCCACAGTTACGACTCAGATCTGAGCGCTCGCAGTTCCGCCGCTTCTGGCGGAGGTGGCCGCCTGGGGGGAAAGAAGGACCGCGTGGTTAACTGACAAGGCCCGTGGCCACCAGGCTATCGGGGGGACGTCGAGGCGGCGCACTTGAACAGATACAATCGAAACGCTGCCGTAAGGAAGCCTAAATAAAGAACGAGACCCCTTTTTTCATACATTGTACTTCGGTTTCCCATCGACAACTTGCGAAACGTCTAAGACAAGCTGTAAAAGAGTGAAGGAACACCGAACCCCTCCCCAACGAAAGGGGTTCCTGGTCGGAGGATCGCGCCGCATCGACGGTGCATCACCGATGCATGGGCGACGCATCGGAGATGCATCGGCAGCGTCAACGATGCATCGGCGACGTCGGCGTGGAGAAATCGGGCTCCATATCGAGCCGCATCGCCGATGCCTTGATTCGGGCGGTGCGGACAAGCCTCCGACCCCTTCATAGATCCTAGCCATCCTCCGTCGTGATATTTGTTTTACAGCGCGGCTCCCCAAAGGCTTTGCCCCCGTCCCCCGGAACGGCTTTGCACAGCTCGAGCTGTTCTTGTTGACGGCCCAGGGGCCCGGCAAGGGCCCTCAGAGGCCGAAAACAAACAAGAAAGACCCACACACACACAAAACATGAAACATAAGAGAAACAGCAAATAACACCAACAACAACAACAACAGCAGCAGCAGCAGCAACAGCAACAACAACAACAACAACACCACCACCATCACCAACAACAACAACAACAACAACAGCAGCAGCAACAACAACAACAACAACAGCATCAACAACAACAACAACAGCAACAGCAACAATAACAACAACACAAACGTACGCCACGTGTTCGTTCGCCGCGCGAGGGGGCGTGGGACCCCACATCTGCTCGGACCCCACCTTGGAGGAGCAGAAGCTCCACCCCCACAAGAAGAAGCACCCCGGCGAGCGAAGCCGCTCAGCTCCGCAAACGCGCCCACGGAAGGCATCGAACAGGACAGGGCTGCTTCGTCAACGCCCAGGGCCGCTTCGTCGACGCCAGTGATGGGGGTCGGGGTGGTTCTTCTAGAGCAGCAAGGATTTCTTGGATCCGCGCCGGACCCACCTCACAGGCGCGCGGAGCGCAGGCGCGCGGAGCGCGCCAGGGGGCGGCGTCGGAGGCGCCTCCAGGGGGGCCCTGCGCGGATCCGAGAGATCCGCGCGGAGCGCCGAAAGTTCCTATTTATGGCGTTTTTTTCCTCTTCGATCCTCCTCCCTTGACAGCTGTCGGGCTGGGCGAAAGGGGGGGATAGCCAAGGAGGGGTTTGAGAATCAGCTCGCGGAGCCGAGTCTCCCGGCGCCTCACGGCGCCGGGAGGCGCCCATGCATCGAGGAACGGGCCCGGCGCTGGGGCCGAGACCAGCTGCATGCAGCAAATGTCGTAACCCCCCTTTCCCTATCCCCCCCTTGCGTTCGGCCCGGAGCTGGGAGGCCCAGATCAGCGCGAGGGCCAGGAAGCGCGGGGCGCACGTGACTCGGGGGCCGCACGCGCGTGGGACCTCCACTGGGAGAGGCCGCCCGCCGGGGAAGAAGGCGCGCGCGCGGCCGCCCGGCCTGCGGACGGCCACCAGAGGGGACCCGGGCGCTGGCGAGACCTCCAGCCACGCGAGCGACGAAAACGAGCGTCGGCGGTGGACAAACCTCCCTTTATAGTAAAACTCCCCGTAACGAAAGCGGCCTGCATGTATTTATTACACGCGACCTTGCGCGGGCAGCGTGCGCGCGAGTGTCCGCGCAGTCGGGCCCCGTCTCGCCTCTGTCGCCCACACGTGCATCCAACTCTCGCACAGGCTGGCCGCGTCGTGTGTATCCGGCTTCCTGGCATACACGCTTTCAACATCCAGGATCAGTGCCGCTTGTTCGAGTCAAGTAGCGACGCACTTGCAACACTGACTGCGAGGGCTGCTCCGTCGACGCCACAACCCACCCTCAACTCCGTCGCCGTGTCATGGTGCGTGCGCCTGCGCGGCGTCGACGAATTCGAAAGACGGAGCCATCTCCACAGGTCAACTGCACTGCCCGCGCACCCAACACCGCAAGCAGGTCAAGAGGAGTAGCCTTTTTGAAGCCGCGCGACGGCCAGAGGCGAGGGCACCTGTCTGCACCTCGACTTCCGAGGCTCCACGCCGAGGCGACTTCACGCCGGCAGCAGAGTCGCACCCCGCTCCTCCCACGAGCGACGAACCTGTCCATCTCCGTGACCTCGCGGACTGCGCACCGAGGCTCGCTCTGGGCACGCGACCTCACGGATACGTTCCGCGCGGGGCATCCGCGCGGAGGTATCCGCGTACTGCCGCGACGGTACAACAGAAACGAGACATGGATTAATAACGTCGGAACTCTGCCGTTCAAAGGCCGCGAGATCGCCGCTCGGCACGATCTGCGGCTGCCGCTGAACATGCCAAAGAGAAACGCGAGCCCCGAGTTCAATTTTTCGGCCCGCGGTCAGTGCCCCCTGGGCAGCGCTCCCGTCTCCTTGGACGGCGGAACTCCAACCTTATGTCGGCGGTGGACAAACCTCCCTTTAGTAGACCTCCCCTCAGTGAAAACGGCCTGGGGCCGAAACCGACGGCCCTGGGCCCGCAAAAACGACGGCCGCGACGCCCCCTCGCGAGGCGAGAACGGCCAATTCTTTAATCGACGTGTCAGGGTAGGAGGTATCCACCTCCGAAAGTGGGTGGCGAGCGAGAGGAGGAAGTGAGAAGGAGAAGGCCTTCCCAGAGGAGGTCTGTCCACCCCCGATTATATGCACTGGTTGAGACAACGGCGGCACTCCTGCCCAGCCCAGATCCGCTAAGAATCGGTCCCAGGACTTCTCCAAGGGCCCGTCAGTTTTTCTAAGCGGACCCGGCCGTTGCGGCGAGAAGCCGCCAGGAGGCCCCAAAGAGGAGGAACGACCCAAGACAGGAGCGCCG